ACCCTGAACTGTGAGGAATGGTTGAGAGAACTAGGTTTAAGCAGTCTAGACAAGAGGAAGACTGAAGTGGGATATGATTATAATCTTCAAATCTGTAAAAAGTTGTTATAAAGAGTGGAAAAAGAAGAAGTTGGCTTAATTTGTAGCAAGGGAGCTGGAGGTTAGATATTAGGAAAAATTATATAACTATATAGGACTGAGCAGGATACTAACAGAGGCTGTGGAATCCTCACTGTGGGAGTTTAAAAATATGTTGATTACAAATGTATTGGGTGATCTAAGTCTACTCAATCAAAGCAGGACCCCTGGAGATCCCTTCTAGCCCTATTTCTGTATGATTCTATAACATATTAGAAAGATGGAGCTTGCAAACTGAATCTACTCCAGAAGTAGAGTCGATTCACTTGTGCAGTGTTTTTATCTGTTAGATTTGTATGCTTCCCTCCTCAGAAAGGGCTGAAAGCAGCTGACAATAAAAGCAAAATCAATGATAAAAACAGATAAAATACTAAAATAGAGTAGTATGTGTTAAAACAACACATTCCCCAAACACTGCTTCAAAACTTAACTATTCCTGCAAAAAGTTTACCAAAATAAAAAAGTCTCAGAATGTTTCCTGAAGATGCCCAGGCTTAGGTTCAGGGTCATGATAGGGAAGGAGTTCCAGTTCTGAAGTGTGACTACCAAAAACAATCTCCCATGCGTTTTCACTAAACCAGCTTGGCGCACAGCTGGTACTTGCAGGACATTGATCTTGGCCAAGCCTAGGGATCATGGTGAAACATAACTCTAGCTGCTTTGCCACTCCATCCAGGAAGAGCAGAGACAATCTGCAGATGCTTCCTTAGCCTGACGAAGGGCATTTGTACCTGAAAGCTTGCTAAAAAGAATTTTTCCAACTATTTTAGTTGGTCTAATAAAAGATATCAGATTTACCCAAAGAACTTTGTCTCTATCTCTCTCTCTATATATATATATATGTATGTATATACATATATATATGTGTGTATATACATATATATGTGTGTGTGTATATTGTGTGTATATTATTGTGTGTGTACACTCACACACACACACACACACACACACAATATACACACACCTTCCCAACATTGGGAACAAAAAGCCAAAACAATACTAAACCTGAGTGTTTTTGTGCATTCAGAACGCCTGCCCCCCGAGCCCCGCCATCACTG